TCTCTGACTTTTTTCTTGCATTGCACGACTCAAATTCGTCGAATGAAATGAAGGAGTAAATTTGTTGCTGCCAATTAACTGCATCAGTTCTGTTTTCCTCTGCTGTTCTTCTTTCAGTGTGGTGACTTCTGATCCATGAGGCGATGGCATGAAGTCAACAGTTTGCAGTATGTGCAATATGCGGCAGTCTCTCTGTCAATGGACCTGTGACAGCTGAAGCCCAGATGTTGCAGTTTGATGTCTATGGCCAGCAGCAATCTAATGTTGTTGCACCTTTCCTTCCACACACAGCAATGCGGAATATGTCATGGACAGACATCGCTAAACTGCCTCTTTTGAAGAAGCATCGCAATTCTTGTCTGCCAATAAACAACAGACTAGCCAGCTATAATTACAATTTGGAGGTCGGAGACGCGATCCCGTGAACGTATTGCGCCAACTGCAATGAAGAAGGCCTTAGTGATCTGGATTTATTACCATTCTCGTGAGGATAACTATGGCGTTGTGATCCAAGTCATGCAGACTATAAAATGCCTTAGACGTGAGATAGTGAAGGTACTGCCGACAGCAAGCCAACAGTGGATATGAACCACGCCGCCAGCATCATTCTGCACACCAGGAGAATCCAATACATATAGCTGCCAACTCTGATGGTATAGACCCGATAACTTGTTTTCTTACTCTAAGATTGGTATACAATTATACATGTACTAGTGCAATCTCTATCCACATGCGTAATGCACTCTGTATTTGTTTCCGGTGACTGGAGGTAGTTTATCATAGCACTGTTTTATGTCCTGGTTTTGTTGAAGATACGCATTATCCAGTTAACTTGCTAGGTACCGTATCAGTCAGCTCTTTCAGCATTTGGCTTTGTGTCAGGGGTGGTTGGCGGTGTCGCGGGTCATTCCACAGTCCGCAAAGTTGACGTTCTCGGCAACGGAGCGACCCAGTAGGCAATTGATCACCGATAAATATACTCTCATTGGTATCACGGTGCACCACAATGGCATATGGTGTGAATATCATTATGTTATTCTGCAGCGAGTCCTTGTCGTGTAGCTTGCGAAAGTTATTGCATACGGTCATTACGTGCATAATGCATAGTACATGTACTGTCTGTACACTCAAGTATCAAGTCCAGTCCATTTTTTGGAAATATGGGCTGGACACTAACGAGGGCCTGGTGACGTGTTCATAGGGCTGAGTTATGCCAAATGGTGCCATTGGCTGGGAGTGAAAGCCTTGCCCCACGCCTGCACCCTAAAAAATGTTTCGAAAATACTCAAATTCGACGACGGCTGAGAATCTAGGAAGATGCCGGACCACAGCGAAACAAGTCATCTGGCTGAAAAACGGAATACACCATTGCGTTGCCACGGCTAAGCGCAATTTTTAGGCTCACCACACAGGTAGCGAAATGCCAAAACAAACGAGCCATAGACACAAAACCATTTTCCAAAATTGTCCACCATTGAGAATGCGACTCAAAAAGTACCCGCAAACTGCCCAGTGCGGAAAATGAAAAGTCAACTTTTAGACGACTTTTTTGAATCTGGCGCACGGACTGAAATTATCAACCAAGAGTACAACAATAATAGAAAAGCTGACAGGATCGCTTTTCTAAATAACCCCCCACGTGACGTACTCTTGATGGTACATGCACATCTCCTTTTTTGGGAGAAAGCGAAAAGAGATGGTCGAAACACAGTTTCACTGTTCAGTTTTTTTGTACTACTCCCTGGTTCAGTACACAGTGTACACAGTACAGTGTGAATGCGTTCAAAATATTTGCTCGAAAAGGAGTTGTAGATATGCGTGTACGGTACAGGGTACGGTTGGAGTTCATGATTATGAAGTGCAGTTTGCGATGGTTTCGCATTTTGATAGGACTGCTCGAAGGTCGGTGTGATGTGAGAAGATTTTGAGATCAAACACTGTTTTTCCGGCAAGTAGTTTCGACAGACTTCATCAAGAACGGACGGAAGCAGCTCCTCTCCGATCCTATCCACAAGTACAGGACTGGAGTGTGAAGTGTGTTAGCATTCCCTTATTCGCACACTGAAAAGTACTGCTGCTCACACACATGCGACGGAAGAGCCTGGACAACAGCTTGAGTTCAAACGATTGTACCGCAGTTTGCCTGCCTACCTCATCCAGCTGTGGATCGGAGGGCTGTGAAGTGTAGTAAGGTCGGATGTGTGCCATAGCCGGGATTGCGACAAGCCGTGAAGTGTGCCCTGTAGAGGTTACCGAAGGTGTGCCCGAGATGCGACCTCACGCCATAAATGGAGATCGTAGCTGAACCGAAGCAGTTGACGCTATCGGAGTGAGCAAATGTGTGGCTGGATATGAAAGATACAGACCAATTGGAGCTCACGGACGCGCAGAAACAGTGAGATATCCGCGCGTGCTGCGTGAGCCCAGACGCACATACACGCAGCCAAGAAGCAGCTAAATCGGACCAAAACAATATACATTTAATGAGTTGACACACTGTTGTTTTTGGAGCTGACTACACTGGCGTGGTGCTTTGTACCCTGCTGATGTTCCGCATGATCCTCACTGCTTGAGGCAGCAAAACAAGGCTTTTAGCATGCTGCACTGGATTTCAGGATGCGTATTGCCACTGCAAGCACTACATGTAGTGATGTTGGCGTTAGTTACAACGGCACAATCAGCATTCGGGGCCAGTAGTATTTGCCCGGCCGGGTGTCCGCCGATCGATAACGACCAACTGGAGGTGCGTGTGGACAAACGGCGGGCTGGCGAGACGTCGACGTGGGCGTGCAAGACGGGACGGACGCTGGTCTACGGCAATCTTACGCGGACGTGCAGCGCCGTGGGCCGCTGGCTTGGAGACGCGGCCGTGTGCGCCGAGAAGCACCAGTGGCTGGGCTGCAGCTTCGATCACGGCGATGCGTGTGCGTTCAGTCTGTCGGGAGGGGCCAGCCTGGAGGTGACGAGTCAGGTGCCGGACCCGAGGGGAAGCTACCTGTCGAAGAGCGTGCACCTGAACGGCGAGAACGAGACGTTGCGTTTGGAACTGCATCTGGCGTCGCCAACGACAGCGGCCATGTGCAGCATGAAGTTCTGGATGCGCGATTCGATGTCCGTGCAGCCTGTTGGTGCGTGGATCGAGTTCCCGCTCAACGCGACACGCCCGAGCCTTCTGGTCCCGGTCACGCGCGTCCTTCAGCTGCACTTCTGGGACTTATACCGCGTTGACGTGCAGCCCGCGGTGACCGACGGAAACGTATACCAGATTGCCATCGTACATAAGGGCGGCACAGGCATGCAGGGCCAGGACGCGTACATTGAGGACGTGGAGTTCGACGGCGATTGCCGCACGAGCAACGGCGCAGGCAGCCCCGGTTATCACTGCAGGCTGCATGGTTCGCAGTACGTCTGGTTGACGGACTCCTGTCGGTGTCGGCGTCAGTTCCGCGGACAGCACTGCGAGACATACGTACACGACGAGCCGGTCTCTACCGACGACTTCCGCTGTGACTTTGACCACGGGCACGCGTGTGGAATGACTGTGCTGGGACAGGGCGAGGTGATTCCCGCCAGACGATCCCAGTGCCACTTTTGTCCGTTGGTGGATGCTTCGGATTACGGCCACGGCAGCCTGTTCTCGACGGGCAACCAGGACTCGTGGGGCGGCCTGGGCGTGAACTTTGGCCAGGCCGCCGGCTCGGCGTGCTCAATCGAGGCCGTTCACTATCGCACGAAGGACCAGCAGCACGTGGGCCAGAAAGGCGTTTGGGACTACTCGCTGGGCTCGTGGCAGCCGGAGGAACGCCGTGTCCAGTATGGCCGCACCACTGCCGGCTGGGAGACGTTTGACGGGGCGCGCGCCATGCGCTTCGCGACGCGGTCTCCGCCGATCGCCGGCGATACGCTGCTATTCCGGCGCGACAGCAGCGTTCGATCGCATTTCATCGACGAGCTGCGTTTCCTCAACTGCAGCATACAGCCGCCGCCGGGGGCCAGCTGCCTGAATGGCGGCACCGCCGTCGTGGACAACAATCGCCGTGGGTACCGGTGCGCTTGCCCGGCGGGATTCACCGGGGAGAAGTGCGAGAGCGACTGCTGCCTGGACGGGACGGTGCGGCCCTTGTGCGACCGATGCCCGGACGGCCACTACGGCATGGCGTGCGAGCACCAGTGCTCCTGCCCCAGGGGCGCCCACTGCGAGCGCGCGACCGGCACGTGTGTTTGTCCGCCGCCGTACGCCGGCCCGCTATGCGTGGACACGTGCCAGTGTCAGAACAACGGCACGTGCGTTCACCCCGCCGTGGATCGGTGCATCTGCGGCAGTGGGTTCACCGGATCGCTGTGCCAGCACCTGGTCCACTGCTTGGCCAACTACTACGGTCCCATATGCCAGCACCAGTGCAATTGCCAGAACGGCGCAACGTGCGATCAAGCAAGCGGCTGTGTGTGCCCATCGGGTTTCGTCGGCGCGCAGTGCGAGCTCGCCGTCAATCCCCCGTCTACCGCACTGTGTCCGGCGAACAAGTACGGACCCAACTGCGCGCAGACGTGCGACTGCACTAACGCTGGCGTGTGCGACCCGACACACGGCTGCCTGTGCCCACTCGGCTACGGTGGCGCGTGGTGCGAGCTGCAGGTCCCGTGCCCGGCCAATAGCTACGGCCTGAACTGCTCGCTGGTGTGCAACTGTCAGAATGGCGGCACCTGCGACCGCAACGCCGGCTGCGTGTGCACGCTGGGCTTCGTCGGCGCCTCGTGCGACCGGCGTGCCACGTGCCCGACGAATCGCTTCGGCCCGAACTGCCTGCAGCACTGCGACTGCCAGAACAGCGGCACGTGCGACGCGGTCAACGGGTGCCAGTGTGACGCCTGGTTCAAGGGTACTCACTGCGAGTCGCGCATCCCGTGTCCGACGGGCACGTACGGGCCCGGCTGCGCGCTGACCTGCAACTGCAGCAATGGCGGCACGTGCGACTCGGTGACCGGGTGCATATGCCCGGCGGGCTACATAGGCGTTCAGTGCCGGGGCAAGGTGCACTGCTCGTTTCCGGTGCTGGACGGGCCCGGGATCATGCTGATCTCCATCAGCGGGCTGGAGCACACGGCCCGCGTGCTCACGCTGTGCAAGCCGGGCTACACGTGGCGCAGCGGACAGCACTCGCGCGTCTGCCAGGCCAACGGCTCCTGGTCGGGCGTAGCCGCCATCTGCAGCCAGCCCAGGCCCGACGAGGCGCAGCCCTGCTTGGCCGGGCGGACAAACACCACTAGAGGAACGTTCGACTGGCACCAGACGTCCGTTGGCGTAAATCGCACCCTGCCGTGCCCGATTGTGCTCGCCGGACAGGCGCCAAAGTACGCGTATCGTTCCTGCCTCGGCCCGGCTACGTGGTCGGCCATACGCCTGCAAGACTGTCCCTACCTGAGCGAGCGTACGCGCGGCATCAATCTGCTCAGCGAGGTGGCGGGAAAGTCGTTACGCAACGCCACGTCGACCAATTCCATCCTGACGATCGTGGACAACATAACGGTGCTGATCAACGACGATGCGGACCTTAGCAACGACGAGCTCGGTCTGCTCTCCACGATCCTGGACGATGTGGTGGAGAGCACAGTGCAGGTGATTAACTCGCAGACGCAGCAGGCGAGCGACTTTGCTCAAGTGGACCGCATCCTCTCCTCCTTCCTGAACGTGGTCAGTCGCGTTGCCAGCGACAATCATCATGACGACTCGAGCGCCACCGGATCGGGGATGCCGCCGCAGACAACGCCAGGAGCGGGCGAGCCAGACGCAAGCATCTCGCAGGTCAGGATAGCCGTCTCACTGACCAAGCTCGTGCAGTCCGTCCCCATAGCGCAGAACCAGGAGTTGATACGCATGGCGGACAATGTCGGTGTGGCGGCCGTGTGTCCCGAAGATATGTCTGGCTACTCGGTAACCGTGGACGACGGTGTGGGCAATAGCAACGGTAGCGAGGCCGCAAACTCCACATCGAGCACGCCACAGTCTCCGAGCATTTCGGTGCGCATCCGACGGGTTCAACAAGATCCTGAGCTTCACATGAACGGCACGACGGCGAAATCCACCAAGCTAATGCTGTCGATCCCGGCCGAAGCGGTCGATATTGCCAGCAGATACATCGGGACCACCACCGTCACCGCCAATGGGTCAGCAAGCACTGCGTGCAAGCGCGCCACGGCTAGCTTTGTCATGTTCTTCAAATCGCAGCTGTTCCCGAGCACGACGTCCGACGGCGACGTGCTAGCCTCGAAGGTGATAGCCGCCAAGGTCGGCACCCTCGCCAACGTGAACCTGTCCTCGTCTAGCGTCGTCATGGTTTTGCCAGTCGACCAGTCGCTGATGAGCCGCGTCAACAGCTCCTGGACGGCCACGTGCGCTTTCTGGGACACACGCCGGGCCAGCTGGAGCTCCGCCGGCTGCCGCCTGCTGTCGTTCTACGCGACGAACAACGGGAGCGGCGCAGCGGCCCAGTGCAGCTGCAATCACATGACCAACTTTGCGCTGCTGGTTCGTCCACCGCAGGCAACCACTCCTGGCAGCGGCGGCAACGACGGCGATGACAATGGCGTCGCCGACAGGAGCCAGGCACGGCACACGCACGCCCTGTCGACCTTGACCATGTTCGGCTGCGGCATGTCGTCGTTGTGTCTCTGCTTCACCATCTTCATCATCGTCAGCAACCGCGACCTGCGCATACGTCAGCGTCAGCAGCTTACACTCGGCATGTCCGTAGCACTTCTCTCCGTTATGATTCTGTTTGCCTCGTCTGAGTCGGCCGTGGGCAGCAAGCACTCGTGCCGCGCCGTGGCCTCCCTGCTCCACTACTCTCTCCTGTCGCTGTTCTGCTGGATGGGAGCGCAGGCCACACTACTCTACAAGCAACTCGTGCGCGTGTTTGACACCGTGTCGGAGAAGTTCACACGGATCTCGGTGCTCGCATCCGCCCTGGGCCCGCTGCTCGTCGTCGCGGCAACCGCTATATCCACCAGCATGCAGGCGTACACAAACCGAGCCGGCCTCTGTTTCATCTCCACGGATATGGTGTTCTACGTGACGTTCTTCGGCCCCATGGTGCTCATGGTCGTGTACAACACGCTGATCATCGCCCGCGTCATCGGCATCGTTATGTCGACCGGCAATGCCGTGCAGCGGGAGAAAGGAGAGAGTGGCGGAGTCGGGCAGACAATGTTCTACGTGCGCATCGTCACGTCGCTATCGGTTCTGGTCGGCGTGACGTGGCTGCTCGGGCTGCTGGTGGCGTTTGTCGACTCTGTGGCGCTGCAGTACCTGTTCTGCGTTGTCAACTCGTTCCAGGGCTGCGCCGTGTTCTACTTTTACACGCTCACGGCGAAGGAAGTGCACGAGGCGCTGCGACGCAATCCCCGCTTTGCCCTGCTCAAGCCGCTCCTGGGCTGCCAGGATCGCCGACAACGACTGTCGGCAGTGCCGCTGTCAGCGGTAACCACCTCCACTAACTCCACCAGCGGCGGTAGTGGGAACAACAACAACAACAACACCGCAAGCAGCAGTCGAGCGCAGAATGCCGCAGCGGACACCAAGGCAGCAGTAGCAGCAGCGCAAGGTGAGGAGGACCGTCCGACCACGGCGAGCACGTCGTGCACTTCGGCCAACATCTTCCTGCCGCACGACCACACTCCCGTCATCAGCGACCGTTCGAGCGACACGTCAATCGGTGCCAATGCCGCCAGCGGCTCCAACCATCTAGGCTTGCTCAACATTGACGAATGCGGCGACGGCTGCAATCGCAAATGCAGCACGTCCTCCGCCAACACGTTCGTAGATCAGGGTACGTCAGAAGGTGGCGCAACACCGCCTTCGTCTTCGGGCTCCGCCACGCGTATAGCGGGCACGGGCACGCCCAACCAGCTGAGTCCCAAGAAGAACGCGTTGACTCCGGTTGCATCCGCCGGTTCGGGCGCTGGCAACGAGGACGGTGACATTGGCGCAGCGGGAGCGTCGCCGCCACCTCACTCTCCTAGCGTGTACGATGCTCTGGCGCCCATCCGCAAGGCGATGATGGCGCAGCGAAAGGCGAGCGGCAGCCAGGGCAGTGAGTCGAGCCCGGTGAGCCAACGAGACTCCCCCGTTGCGCAGCCGCGACCCACCGCCTCCGTCACCGTGGCACTGCAGTTCTCGCTACAACCACTGCCGACAGAAGACCTGGGATCGGCGGCGGCAACGACGGCAGGGGAATCCGACGACAGCGGATTCAGACGCAAGCCGCTGGCCGCTCAGCACCGCGTCGCCTCGCTGCAGTCACCCAACTCCGTCGGTCCGCCCGTGCACAAGCCGTCGCACATTCAAACGCTCCCCTCGCAGCTGAGCATGAACGGCGAGATGCTGGCAAAGTACGCCGCGTCGCGCGCCACCCACCAGTCCCTTGACTGTGAGTCTCCGACGGTGCAGTCCAAGGGCTCGCTTCATCACATCGTGCAGCCCCTGCATCGCATCACCAACAACGCCAAGACCAAGCTGGGCAACGCCGTCCTGTCCAGCCTGGAGAGCTGCAAGTCGATGGGTGCCAGCGTCGGCGCCAGCGTGGGCTCCACTCGCAGTACCCCCATGCAGTACTACAACCCACTGCTGGACAACGAGGACCTGGCGATGTCGCCGTGATCCCGTCCCCGTGTCGTAATGATGTCCCCACAGTGACGTCGTGATGATGCCACCAGTAAACCCCCCCGGCCATGACGTCATGATGATGTCACCGTTATCCCTGCCATGACGTCATTGTGTCGTTGTGATCCCGTCGGGACGTCGTCGTCGTCGTGATGCAATCAGATATGTGTGTGTGTGTGTGTGTGTGTGTGTACATGTGTGTGTGTGTGAGTAGAAGTGTGTGTGTGTGTGTTCCACTGCCAGCTTGTCTACTTATCATGTGCCGGCTTTGGATGCTTGGCTTGCTAGCATCTCACGGGTCACAATACAATGGCAGCTGGGCTCGGCGTAGCCTTAGCAACACGACAGCGCCGTCCCCTGGACTTTCATGCATATGATTATGATGTCGGTGGGCTAGCTGCTTGCAAGCGTGTGCACATTCGTTTTGTGTGTGTGTGTGTGTGTTTGTGTGTGTGTGTGTGTCAATATGAGTATATTTTCCCCGTTTGCCCTAGTTTTCCATCCGACTTCGGTACTTACCGTTTGCTGCTTTCGCCGTTTTCTCAATGGGAGTGCGTCCTTGTTGAGGAAGCTATCCCCCAGCTGTTATGCCCTCTTACATTTTGTTACTCTTTCCCCCTTGGCAGGAACATGTGTGCATATGATTGCACGGATGTGTGTGTGTGTGTCCCCTCCCTCTGCTTGAACGCCAATTCCTGCAGCAAACGTACATTATGGATGATCTATTTTTTTACTCCAATGAGCAAGAGGTGTGCATGCTCGCAGTGTCAAATCATGCTGAATAATGCACCCGGTTGCGCGCTTGCAAACATGCACGTGCACACACACACACACACACACACACACACGACCACTGTTTTGCTGCTTCTTGCGCCATGCAAATTACCCGCCTCTTGTTATAGACGCCTCTTCATTCCTTCCAACCTAAACTTTTTATCCATGATTTCAGCTAGTTTTGTTATATTCTATTTCGACAATTCATCATTATTTTTTCATGATGGCGATATCACAGTCCTTATGTTTTCCGGCATGACTGTCTTTTTAATTAGTCATTACCTTTGTTCGAACCTAATGAAGTGCTTTCGTAGGATCGTTTTTTCTGCTAGTTTTTTAAAAAGTTACTGATACTAGTGATAGCTCTGTTTTTATCCTCTCTTTGAATATTCTGATTTTAGAAGTACCAGCTGTGCATCAGTAGTAGCAAGAGTACATGTACTCTTGGTAGTAGCAAGAGTCCATAAACAAGAGTATGCAACTGTGATCTCTTTTCTATGGGCCAGATGCGCGGCGCGGCGCGCTGCCTTCATTACATCATTCAGCTGCAGTCCGCGCACTGCGGAAAATCAAACACTACGCTTTCCCTCTGGTTTGAAATGAATTTTCGTACGGAACTGGAGTTCACGCGCCAAAATTTAGAGATCGCGTAGGTACTGGAATGAATCGAGCAAAAACGGATGGGCTCGTACGAGAAATTGTGGGTTTGAGTGCATGCTTTCAGAGCGTGATGGAGGCAAGTTACGTAATGAAGGCAGCGCGCCGCGCACTGGCCCATAACCACAGTTGCATACTCTTGTTTATGCACTCTTGGTAGTAGTGTACAGAGCATGAGTGTTAAGCGGGATTCACAGAAGCTTTTTTGCGATGCGACAGGCGCGAAACCGGGAAAACCCCAAATCGCAGCAATGTCGCACTCCACGCAACTGCCGCAACTGGGCCATCGCAGGCCATCGCAGAAGTTGAGCTTGGCTCAACTTTTGCGATGCGATGCGACAAGCGATTTGGCGTACGATTTTGACCTTTTCTACAGCAAAGTTGTACAAAGGTGCAAGAGTTGCCTATAAATTTGTATCAAACCGCGCGAATATCATGGTGACGTAGCCAAATCAGCAAGATGTTGTCGCATCACTGACTTCTTCTGTGAATGGTATTTCGCGAGTTCGCATCGCACGCGTCCGTCGCAGATCGCGTCGCATCGCGTGTCGCATCGCAAAGAAGCTTCTGTGAATCCCGCTTAAGCTGAAAGCTTGCAAACAAACAAACTAGCATACGAAGCACAAAGGCCACTGGAAACTTCAATGAGGAGGAGTGTTGCACTCTTCAACGTCGCTGATACGGGATTCCGTGCTTCGCATGCTACTGTAGCGGACATGGAAATCCAGTCGATTGGCCGGGGCCGGCGCCCTCAGCGCGTACAGAACGCTGTGTGCAGTGCACAAGTCATGTTGAACTGATGCGACCAGCGCGCTGCAGCGCATGCATGCATGTGTGTACCGCTTATCCACGGCTGCATGGCCAGCGCCCTGGGGCCGCTAGACGTGCGACTGGATTTCCATGTCCACGGCAGTAGTTGGTATGCATGTAGCCTTGTAGGACTCTGATATCATTCACGGCTCGGATTCCACTCTTTCTATTTCCACTTACGGTCCCCGATATCAGTCACACAGTCACGACTTCTATAATAGGGAGGTTCCGGAGTACGATTTTTCGTGCCAAAATCCGTAGAGGCTCTACGGATTTTTATACGTCGTTTTTGAGCAGTGAAATGTTCCGGAGTACGGAACTTATGTGTTTGGCGTCATTGCCTAGGTTACGATCGCAAACACGTCACATTCCCGCGCTATGCCTTTATACTGTGAACATTTGTACCGAAATCAAAACTTCCCGCGAAAAATCGATGTTTCTCGTACCAAATTTGTACGCGAAAAATCTTTCTGCACCCGATGACGCAAAATCTCCATACGAAACATGGTTCGTATGAAAGCCAGTCCACACGGATTCTCCGTGCCGAAAAATCGTATGGAGCACCCCTGGAAAAAATCCGTAGCGCCCATACGGATTTTGGCACGGAAAATCGTACCCCGGAACCTCTCTAATACAATAATTATAGTACCGTGCTGCGATTACGTTTACAGTCTGTTTCAAAAAGATTAGCAATCAAGTTTAGGTCTTAAAAAGTATGAAGATAAGGGAAATCTGGACAACAAAGTACATAAAACGGCTTGTTAGGGCACGGCAAATTGTTCTGTGAAGGTTTCGGAACAATTGGACCAACCGTTAAGGAGTTAGTATTTCGGCCAGGTTTCTGGCCTTTTCCCATGGTTTATAATTTGCCCTGGAAGCCAGTATCGATTTGTTATCAAAACCCACGATTTATCCCTTCCTTTTTGGCCTAGTGGTTATGAATGCTGTCTGCTGACCATGAAGTTGTGAGTTCAAATCCCAACAAATCTTCAAGTCAAACATTTTTTCTTCAATTTTTTCATTGTTTTGGTACAAGACAAAGAAGGTGGCTGCGCCAAGCGACTTGTTGTTGGAGCTCGCGTTTCCTGCCGAACTGACTGACACTTGAATGACTGGCTCACGCCATGTGAAGTTGTGAACACACACAACACTGAAACCGTGTGAGTGAACTACGGAAGTCATTGCGCTGTAGCTACGTGTTGTTGAATAAACCGGCACATCGAGATCGATCGATTTCTGTTTGAGAATTATTTTAGTATTTGAAGATGGCCAATTTATTTGAATTTAGGAGTCAACGCCGTCTTCTATCAGCTTTCACAGGCGTCTGCTTTCTCAAAATGTCGTCGAAGTCACACGGATAACCATGATAACTTTGCCACTTCAAGGCCTTGGGAATGAGTCTGTGTCGATGCCGTTTTCGTCACATCGTGAGAGTAAATTGCATCCGCGGCAGCTCAAAGAATCTATTTGGTCACAAAACGGACGCATCCCGCTCGTCAAAATTTACCACACTTTCGACATGTCCTCTCTGACTCCACATCGATGCGAGGAAGATCGTCAGTGAGTTGTCATTTTTTATGCTTTCGCGCGGAATATTTCT